CAGTTTCCATATTAAATAGGGATTGATGAATCTAATATATAGATGTGGAAATTATTAGCTACAAAGCCCTTTTTCTTCCCACCCAAACTAAAAGAAAAAATATTTTGTTATGTCAATAAGAAAATTTCATGTGTGCATTGGAAGAAGAAAATGATTTTAGAAGAGTTAATTAACAGTCTATTTGAATTTGTATCAGCCTTCAACCTATGTGTTACTGCAATTTTTTTCCAGGGTCTCTGAACCAGGTATCTTCCCTGTTTTCCCATCTATGATCCCACCTGACTTGGGTGGCACTTTGTAGAAGCAGAATGTGAACACTCTGCTTGGAAAATGTACTTTTACTTCACCTCCTGGCTTCCTGTTCCATGGGGATGTGGGGACAGCAGGGCTGGGGTGGAACAAAAAGCTGACTGCAGGCAGGCAAAAGGCAAGGGAATGGGAATGTAGTGGTAAACTTATGCAAGCGGGGGGTCCAGCCATAACTGGGGAGATAGATGGAGAGGCACTGTATGTTACTTAAGAGGATCCTACAAAATATATTAGGCTTACTCCAATTAGTCTAAATATAAGAGGCCAGCCACTTAGCTGTTTAGTATGCATTAGAAAGTGTGTGATGGAATGCAAAATACAAGCCGAAATTTGCACAAGTGGAGCAGTACTGTCCTGTCTGTCAAACATACACAGGAAAGTTTTCCAAAAAAACAAAATCCCTATTGCTAACAACATCATTAAAGTTGAACTTGAATTAGCAACTCATGGACTTTATTTTTTCTCTAATGTAGACATGTATTCAGAGTCCTCCCCACACCCTCAAACACCTGATGCATCAGATTCTTCCCTCATATGCACAGATACCACTCCCAATAAAGTCAAGAAGAGCTGTAAGGGGGAATCCAAGGGAAATTTTACCCTGTGTGTGGGTAATATACACATACAAGTAAAAAGTTAACGCCGTATGAAGTAGTCATGCAAAACAATGCAGTGTGTACACCAGAGAATGAGTTGCAGCTGTGGGAACCAGAGTTTTTAATTCCTCAATTCTGGTTGCCTAAAATCTCAATTGTAAGGGTGCAGCTAGTTCCTGCAGGAACAATCTCTAAAAACAATGCAAGCTGCGACTAACTAATACTGGACATAGGCCCACTTACCTTTCTGAGCAGCCGACACGGGTGCTCCTCCTTTTTGACTTCTTTGCACCGATACTTGTTTACTTTTATTCCCAGCTCTCAGGGACCCCTCCTGGGTCCAGATATTTTGTTTAGCACCTTGGAAAAACATACGAGGGCGCAACACAGATTCTCTGTGAGCAACTTCCTGCCCCCACCTAAAACACCGCGAAGTCCTTAAAAACACCTTCCCATGGGGTGCAAGCAACCACTTTCCTGGAGAGCCTTGTAACTTCTCGCTGCATTGAATAACTCGCATAAACGAAGCAGAAAACATGATGAGGCAAAACAAGTCTTAATATGTTACCAACAACTAAGATCTATGCAGATTAGTTGAACTAAAGCGTCCCTTGATTGCTGCATAGATCTAGCCTACTGTAGTCTGCACCTACGCCACACATGCATAGTGTGTGCACGGAAAGTGCAGCCCTTATGATGAAACAGAATTAGAGCAATCTCTCACTTTGAGTTTTACTTTTACCTTGTTGATTTACTTTAATTGAGAAACCTACATTACCCTTTGCCCGCTGACATTTGCAACTTCCTCGCCATTGCGTTTGCAAAGTTCTCTGGAAAAAAAAATACCACGAGGCCCTGGGAATTGTAGTTCACAGAAATTCTCTTCACGTCCACGGTTAATAGTGGCTTCAAAGAAAAATGACTACAACTACCACAATGCAAAGCGCCACCCCCTGCTGTTGAAATCAAATTACATGTGACACAAAACTATTGTACTTTCAATCCGCTGGTTCGGGTACAAATAGCACATAACGAAGTGGTAGGGGAGGCTGGACTTTTTATTACCTCCTTTAACTATAAGGGCTTGTGAATGAAAAATAGCGTGTTTTGGTAGTGTTTCTTCTCTTTTGATTTTTTTTTTAATATTTCCAATGATCTTCTCCTTAGAAAAACATTATGACCTTGCAATAATGCAAACTGTTCAGGTTTTTTTCAAATAAAGTGGTAAAAATACAAATTTGGAAGTATTTCTTCCTTTTCCAGGGTGCATAAAATTAATCACATTAAGGCCTCAATCCCACAAAGATTTAAGTACACCTTTAGTCTCATTGTCTTTGCAGGATCTAAGGTTGTCGTTTCTTTATGGAAACTGGTGGATGCAAAATCTATTTTAAAAGGCCCCGATCCAGCAACTGGGTCAGCATAGATGTAACTCTGCCCCTATGATTCAAATTCTATTCATTGTTTTTCCTCATTTGAATAATTCCTTTGTGGTCAGCATGTACATAAAACTCATACACAATCATGTACATATTTATTAATTAAACTCAGTCAGTAAATAACTGTAGAAAGCCACCACTCAAAAACAGCTGTAAAGATTTTACTCAAACTTTCTAGGAAAATTCACACTCAACAGGAATTTGTTTAAAGAAGTTCTGAGCAATGAAAAAGCAGGAGTCATAATGACAGCTGGAATTCAGTCACAACTTTAGTCTCTGCTGCCTCTAGCATGGACGCTATAATGATGATAATAAAAACAATAACAGAATTTTACTTTAAAACATCTTTAAGAATCTATGCTATCCCGTTCGATAAACAGAGTTGCAATCCTTTATGTCCAAACGGACATATTGAGATGGTGTGTCCAAATGGACTATTGAGATGGTGGCTCATTGTTTATAAATTCTTTGTAATATTAGATGTATTTTAATATTTTCTTTAGGCCCTATCTACATAAAACTTTCATTGGAGTTTATATCCAGTGCTTAATAACCAATAATACCTACCATCTTTATAGTGCTTTACATTTTCAAAGCACTTTACAGCCTTGCTGTTAAACTCAGTTGGAAGTCCCATGTAGATGGGACTTTTGGTGCAAAATTTGAATCCAAACTTCTCCAAAATTTGGGGGTTGTGACAAAGTCAGTCTTGACAGACATAAAAGAGCAGTCCTGTTGGATTCTGGGAAGTGGGCTAAAGGACCTCTCGCCCCCTCCCAGGATGAGGTGAAGCAGGTACCCTGCCACAGGGTGTTCAGATGCCGAGTTTTGGTTTACTCCAATATAGCGATGAGGGGACATCTCTAAATTTGGATTCTGGGCTTTCAGTGAATCTATCTCCAGTTAGGTGTAGTGATAAGAACTACATTTCACCTTACATAATAATATATTGGCTTTATACGTATGTCTCCTTCTACTGGGTGAGTGCAATGACTATACTAACCTATTATCCCTCACACTTCTACTTCTGCCAAATAACCTCACACTGAATTTACTCCCTGCTGGTGGCTGTAGTAGGTAGTGCCTGTCTGAATATTACCACGGTTACCCTGAGATCCCTATGTATTTATGTATACAGCTCCATAAGTTCCCTTCTCTGTTACAAATGTAATGGTTTTCTTTGGTCCAGTCTGTATCATGTACCTAGCACACTTTAGGTTGCTGTATAAATAAGTTAAGAAGATCACCAAAACCAATAATAATATACTAATAAAAATACTTTGGTGGTCACAAAACCACAACCCCCAGCATGGTTCTTATGGAGGTACCAATTGCAGCTCGGTAGCTTAGGAGTTTTGCACTTAAAGCTAAAAGAAAAGGAGTACTTGTGGCACCTTAGAGACTAACCAATTTATTTGAGCATGAGCTTTCGTGAGCTACAGCTCACTTCATCAGGCCACGAAAGCTCATGCTCAAATAAATTGGTTAGTCTCTAAGGTGCCACAAGTACTCCTTTTCTTTTTTGCGAATACAGACTAACACGGCTGTTCCTCTGAAACCTGCACTTAAAGCTGACATTCAACCCTTTTGTAATGTATAAAAATTATACATTACTCTTTTACTCAATTACTCTTTGAAAATAGGTTGCATTTCTGAGAATTTACAAGTAAACCCACTAATTAGTTTAGGAATTCAAATTAATAAAAAGTTGGGTCTTTTAAAAATTAACTATATGTCAAACTGATTTTTTTTGGTCCCAGATTAGCTCAATAACAATACACAGATGCTTCAAACTCCACACACAGTTTAAATTCACAGAAATCTTATGCGTAGGCCTCTTTTGGTGGGTTTTAAAGGACTGATAATAATTTTTTCCCAATTAGTCTTCACAACTGCAAATTTCTCCTTCAGCAGAGGCTGAACAATAAAGTTCTGCTACAGAGAATTCCACCCAGAGCTGCCCTCTTTCAAAACGACTGCCATCTCCCATTGTTCTCAATGAGCCTGAAGTCACCCGTTTTCCCCAAGTGGCCATTCTTAATAGCACTGGGCTCTATGCCTCCTAAAGGGTGTGCGGAAAACAATCTTTCCTGGTTTTACTCTCATCAGAACAAATGGCCAGTTTGAAAGAGGGCACTTCTTTGGGGGTTTCTCTGAAGGAGAAGTTTGATGCAGCAGCCTTTGCAGACAAGCTTTCAGTGATGAAAATGGCAAAAATGAGTCGACCCTTATTAATCCTATATTCTTCTTTCCAAAAACTATCCATTGCACCGAATCTGCTCCAAAGGGATGACAGGAAAGAGGGGGAAACTGGTGTGTGTGTAGGACAATGTGGGGTGTCGTAGGGAGAGGGAGTTGGGCTGTGCGTGTGTACCCAGCCGAATATGGGGTGCAGATGGGAAACTGGTGGTTGTGCATGCTGTGGAAAGTAGAGGATAGGAGGGAGGAGGAGTTGAGGAAGCATGAGCAGGGGAGCATAGAGATGCCCGAGGCAGTGGGCATTTGGGGGAAGCAATGGTGGGAGCACTGAACTGGGTTCTGGAGAAGAGTTCAATAAGCTTGGGGAATGCGCTTATCCTTTTGTTGCCCTCCACGGGGGTGACTGAATCCAGGGATGTTTTAGGGTGCAGTTGTGGGTGGAGGCCCTCTGCACTGGACTGCAACCCTTACGGAGCGTGGCGCTCATTACCACATACAACCCGAGACTGGGGCCTTCTCTGGGCTGAAATTTGGGGTGTGTGTGTGTGTGTGTGTGTGTGTGTATGGGGGGCATCTGAACGCCTGTAACCAGCTGTGCGTGGGTGGAAGAGCCTGGGCTGCAACCAGCAACCTCAGACTAGGGAGAGGCCGCAGCGGCCCGGTCGGCTGCAGCCACCTCCTGCCCAGCTGCGACTCCGCCCGCGCGTGGCGGCGGCACCGGGAAGGCCAGGCAGAGGCAACACCACACGGGCGGGCTTGTTGCCGGGCCGCTTGGAACGCTGGGCCGGGGCGTTCGGGTTCCGGTGTCACCATGGCGACCGGACGCGGCTGGATCCTGCAGCAGCACGGCCTGGGGCTGGCGTGGGCAGCGGCTGCTCCCCAGCGCCTGGCGCCGCCCGCCCTCCCCAGCCGGAGCTTCCTGTCCTCCGCGGCTCCTCCTCCGGGCCCGGACCGCGGCAGCTTCGCCCTCAGGTAACCCCCGGCTGAGCGGCACTCGGGTTCCCTCAGCACCGGTGCCAGGCGACCTGGGCGCAGAGCCGAGTCAGGCGAGTCCCTCTACCTCCAGACGCCGCGTTTAATTGTGCTGCGGTGCCCATGCAGTCAGGCCTGCTCTCGATCTTCCCCCTGGCCGAGGTTGCTCATGGGAGCGTTGACTCGGAACCCTAACGATGGCGCCCCCACGATTGCACTCGTGCCCGATGTGCAAGGGGAAGGAGAGCTGCAAAGTCTGCTGCGAGTGGCAGCTTGTAGATCTACTTCACCTATGGGCAGAGCTTGGGAAAGTGTGGCCACTTCTTATTTCTCCCCAGACGGGTCAGTGCCACCCACTGTGGAGTGTGACCTGATCCCAGCCCCTGTTCCCAGGGTTTGTCTGCTGCACTCACTTGCTGCCTAGTTTGGACCCATTACTGCAACTGCATAGAAAAGTTTTAGGGAAGTAAGTGCATGGGAGGGACTCCCATAGGAATGGTCAAAAGGAGAACAATGCCCTTCTTATTTCTCCTCCCAGTCATTGTGACACTGACTGTACTGCTTCAGAATCCTAATAGGTCATGCATTGGTCTTGCTGCCCATGTTGTGCCTTGGGCCATTTTGAAACCAAAGCTTCATCAGGGGCTAGGACACCACAGGTCAATGAGGGATAGGCAGCAGTGGTTAATCAATCTTTAGTGAAAAAGCTTTTTAGAAAGGAATAAAGGAGGAAGCTAGAGCTGGTATTTTTGGGTCTGGTAGTCTAAGGTTTGTAAAACTAGTGAAGCAGAATTGCTGGATCTTGTGGTTTCATCATGAATCTCTCAATGTATGCTGTTTTCTTAAAGTCATAGCTCCTGGAGTCATGCAATTATGTGAAAATTTATAGTTTCCAGACATAACTGGTCTGTAGAAAAGCTTGAAAACATGAACTTTAAAGACTCAAAAACAGAAGCAAATAAATCTCTTCCATAGTCCCCATCCAAAAGTAATTTTAAAAAATTTGATGATTTGGAAAGGCCTGACTTGTGATTTTTTGATCCCTGGGGGCTAGCAATACAAGTGAAGAAAGTGTACTGGCTGCGGCTGCTTACTGTTGGGAATTATTGTCTTTTTTCATGTTAGTCAAAACTATCTTGGTTGGTACCGGTATCTCCAATAATTGAGGACCCAATCCTACAAACACTCACATGCATAAATGGTTGCGGGACTGAGCCTTAATATTGCAAGTCTCATTGACTCATAGACTTTAAGGTCAGAAGGGACCATCGAGATGGTCTAGTGAATACCTCCTGCACAAGTCACGCCTCTTTTCTCATGTGTTCAAATCTTTCTGGATTATTCTCTCTCAAGGTATTTTTCATGTTTGTTCATTGCACAAAGATATTTTGTTTGTTTTTGGTTTGAAAGCTTGAGCAAAATTCCGTGAACTGTTTTTGGGTTATGGAAAATGAAACTCTCTTTTCTATTAAAGAAAATTGCTAAAACCACTCTTATAAATGCCTGTAGCAAAAATGGCAGAAGTTTGAAACTATGCATGGATTTTGTACTCAAAGAAGATGTGCTTTTGTCTGGTTTGATTTAACAAAATATGGCTATTTGAAAATTTCATGCTGAGATTATGACATATTTATTTAAAGTCTTTCCTGTGGCACTAATTACTGTAGTATCTGAGTGCTTCACAAACTTATTATTATTTTTTCCTTTCTCAAGGGAATATTGCAAAGATGATATCATTATCTATTTTGCAGATGGGGAAACTGAATCATAGAGGACCATAAGGGTATGTGACACTTCAGTTGTGAAAGTGATCTTGAATAAAATGTAGGGGGAATAAAGTGTCTTGAACCTTGTGTAGTTATTTATATCTCTGTAAAGTAGTTGTAAAAAGCTAACAAATCAAAATTATCCACTCCTACTGTCGGAGGTGTTTAATTTAGAAGGGGTGTAAAGGACTAAACAAGGTGAAAGGCCAAGCAGATTGCAAAAAAGATGTATTCACTTCACACAGAGAATATATTGTTATTCCTGATTTAAATATGTATTTGATGTAATTCTCTCCTTCCTACTTCCCATAATTGCAGCTTTCCATTACAGGCAAATGTAGGTCTAAGAAAGTTGTCCACATGGAAAGCCAAGGCAGTGTAATCAAACCATTTCTGAAGCAGGTTCAGGATGACTGCTGCTGGTCACATAAGTGTTGCTAAGGAACACCTCAGCTTCTATATGGTTGGGGCGCTATCTTAGATGGGACATTGTAGTCAAGAGGGCCGCCAGAAGAGGCATGTATAGTTTCATATTAAATTGTTGAGTAAGAAAGGGAGTAAAGTACATTCTAAGGTTATATATAAATAATATGAAGTGGGGAAGAGGCTGTGAGGTTATGTCCAATTAGTTTAATTAATTTATATTGGAAAAACAGAAGAGGATCTGGGTCAGGTAAGGGCATGGGGTAGGACTTCAAATTCCTCTGGCCCTGAAAGACCTTATTCCGGGCCTGGGTGGTGAGAACTTTGGATGGAATACCTCTAAGGGAAAACCCAGGGTGTTGTAGGAAGTGATACTGGTGATTTAGTAGGTGATACTTGAGAGAGAGTTGCCTTTGAACAAAAGGCTTCAGAATGGGTTACTTCAGGGACCGGAAGTCTTTGGCATGTGGCCCGCCAGTGTAAGCCCCCTGGCGGGCTGGGCCGGTTTGTTTACCTGCCGCATCTGCAGATTCGGCCAATCGCGGCTCCCACTGGCCCCAGCGGTTTGCCTCTCCAGGCCAATGGGGGCTGCGGGATGTACTGGCCGCTGCTTCCCGCAGCCCCCATTGGCCTGGAGCGGCGAACCATGGCCAGTGGGAGCTGTGATCGGCCGAACTGCGGATGTGGCAGGTAAACGAACCTGGCGGGCCGTGTGCCAAAGGTTGCCAATCCCTGGGTTACTTGGTTGCTAGAGGTGCCATTCTTGGATGTGATATAAAACTGCAGTGTCTCCAGGATGCCAAGCCAGTTTAAATGCATAAATCCAGGTTCTGTGCTGCAGATATAAAGATAGTATGATGTAACTGTTGTACTGATGTAACTGTTGTACTGCATGAGACAGGAGCCTCAGGCAAGGCCAGTTCAAACAAATTTGGGGGCCCCCGCAAAACAAATAAGCACCAAAAAACAAATTCACCACCACACCCTGAGGAACTTTCAAAAAAGTAACTTGATAAAGGCCTTTGTCTGCCAGGCTCGAGATTTGATGAGTGACTTTCTCCCTCCACCTGTCCAGACTCGCGTGCCACACAAATTGCATTGGTTTGAGTCCCAGGGGTTGAAAAAGAAGAGAATACGTACTGTGTTCAGAACTTGCGCATGTGTTTGTGAGAGCTGGGGATATAGCAGATGGAGGTTTCCTGTTAAACAGAAGGTGTGGAAAACACTGCAAGTTTGGTAGAATTATTTGAACCAGCCATCGTCTCTGGTATCCTGCTGTGGACTTTGCAATCTTTTTTTGCTCAGTGTCGCTCTATTTTGTTTATTTCTTCCCTCCTCCTAAGATAAAAAGGGTCACTGTTATGGTTTGATGGCTAGCCTAACATTTGACTTTTGTTGTTGTTGTTGTTGTAGAAGAGTTCACAACATTGTCTTGGCCATACTTGTAAATAATATTATATTTGTACTAAGAAAATAAGAACAGCCATAGTGGGTCAGACTAAAGATCCATCTAGCCCAGTATCTTACCTTCCAACAGTGGCCAATGCCAGGTACCCCAGAGGGAATGAACAGAACAGGTAATCATTAAGTGATCCATCCTGTCGCCCATTTCCAGCTTCTGGTAAACGGAGGTTAGGGGCTAATAGCCTTTGATGGACCTATCCTCCATGAATTTATCTAGTTCTTTTTTTAATCCTGTTATAGTCTTGGCCTTCACAACATCCTCTGACAAAGAGTTCCACAGGTTGACTGTGCGTTGTGTGGAAAAAATACTTCCTTTTGTTTGTTTTAAACCTGCTGCCTATTAATTTCATTTGGTGACCCCTAGTTCTTATGTTCTGAGGAGTAAATAACACGTCCTTATTTACTTTCTCCACACCAGTCATTATTTTATAGACCTCGTATCCCCCCTTAGTCGTCTCTTTTCCAAGCTGAAAAGTCCCAGTCTTATTCATTTCTCCTCATACGGGAGCCGTTCCATACCCCTAATAATTTTTGTTGCCCTTTTTTGAACCTTTTCCAATTCCATTATATCTTTTTTGAGATGGGGTGACCACATCTCCACGCAGTATTCAAGATGTGGGCATACCATGGATTTATATAGAGGCAACATCATATTTTCTGTCTTATTATCTATCCCTTTCTTAATGATTCCCAACATTCTGTTCTCTTTTTTGACTGCCGCTGCACATTGGGTGGTTGTTTTCAGAGAACTATCCACAATGACTCCAAGATCTCTTTCTTGAGTGGTAGGGAACAGCCAATTTAGACCCCATTGTTTTATATGTATAGTTGGGATTATGTTTTCCAATGTGCATTACTTTGCATTTATCAACATTGAATTTCATCTGCCATTTTGTTGCCCAGTCACCCGGTTTTGAGAGATCCTTTTGTAGCTCTTCGCAGTCTGTAATTTTGTATCATCTGCAAATTTTGCCACCTTACTGTTTACCCCTTTTTCCAGATCATTTATGAATATATTGAATAAGACTGGGACCAGTACAGACCTCTGGGGGAACACCATTATTTACCTCTCTCCATTCTGAAAATTGACCATTTATTCCTACCCTTTGTTTCCTATCTTTTAACCAGTTACCAATCCATCAGAGAACCTTCCCTCTTATCCCATGACAGCTTACTTTGCATAAGAGTCTTTGGTGAGGGACCTTGTCAAAGGCTTTCTGAAAATCTAATTACACTATATTCACTGGATCCCCCTTGTCCACAGGCTTGACCCCCTCAAAGAATTCTAGCAGATTGGTGAGGCATGATTTCCCTTTACAAAAACGGTGTTGACTCTTCCCCAACAAA